GGGTTGCCGGCTGCAGGCGGGGGGACTCCTGGAGTTTTGGGGGAGGACAAGGAAATGGGGGGTGGGTGTGTGTGCAATGCCTTTCCGAAGCACCCCTTGTCTCCAGGGCTGCTGGTCTCTGGAGTTTGGAGAAGAGGGGATCCCCAGGTCCTACCTGGAGGTTGGCATCCTTAGGAGCAATGTTGCCTCTAAGCTGTGGAGTCTTGTGAGCAAAAATTCTACTTTGTGAGCTACTGGCATTAAAGTTGTGAGCAGGTGATTTGGCTACTGCATAAATTAGTGTGTTCTGGAGCCATCCCTTCCTGAGCCAAGACAAAAATCTGTGAGCTGGAGGCTAAAAAACTGTGAGCTAGCTCACACTGACTCAGCTTAGAGGGAACACTGCTTAGGAGCGGGGCAGGATCTGTGTGCAGGCCAGGGAGCATGTGCCAGGGGTTTGGGGTTTTTTCACTTCAGAGGTGTAGGGTGGGGGCATCCAGCCCGAGACCCCAGTTCCTCCCTGGCAGGGGTGGTGGGGGTGGGGGTGATTCTCTGGTGTTGATGGACTAGGATGCAGCTGGTGCCTGATGTGCGGGGGGGGGGGCTTCCAGCTGCTTGTCTGGTGGAGAAATGCTCCTCTTGCTCCCCTGATTGACCCCATCTCTTTGTGTGTGTGTTTTTTGGGGGGGCTCATTAGGTAGTGTGCCCTGCGTCGGGATGAGGGGGGGCACAGAGAAATGGACTGGGATGGGGTAGGTATGTGGGGGGGGGGTGCTGTAAAATAGGGCATTATGCTTGTGCAAAGGGTAGGAGGAGAGAAGAGGCCAGGCAGTTGCTGGGGGGGGGAAGTGGTGGGCCCAGAGCAGGGCATGGACGCCCCCACCCCTTCCAGAGAGCTTGTGGCTCTCAGCCAGGTGTAAGGGTCTCCTCCTCCTCCTCTGCGGGACTGTTTTTCTCTTGCTCAGGTGTGGGACTCTATCGTTTATTTATTTCCTTTATTTATACCCCACTCCCTCCCAAAGTGGCTTACACAGCATTCTTTCCTTCTCCGTTTTATACTCACAGCGACCCTGTGGGGTAGGTCAAGCCGGGAGGGCGTGCCTGGCCCAAGGTCACCCACAGAGAGCCCTTGGAGGGGCTCCAGCAGCTTCATACAGGTGGGAGGGGGGACTGGTGTGCTCCAGGACACCTGAGTCCTTCCCTGCAACTTTGCGCTGCGTCTGCCCAGCCCCTGACCCGCACACACACACACACACACACACACACAAACACTAATCTTCCCCCCACCACCACCCCCCCAGCAAGAAAGATCTCTGAGATTAGCACAGCCGTTTCCCAACCTGGCTAATCGGCCTTGGGTCAGGATTAGCCCCTGAACGCCACCTTGACCTTCTTCTTGTTCTCCGTCTGTCGTCACCACCAGACAGCCCATCCCCGGGGGTGCAGAGGCGGTGGAGGGGGGGGGGAAGAGGACCGGACTCTCATGATTTCTCCCCCGCCTCCCCCCCCCCGATTCAGACAACCAGTTCAGGATGTCCATCCTGGAGCGCCTGGAGCAGATGGAGAAGCGGGTGGCCGAGATGACGGCTGCCGGAGCCACCCAGCCGCGGGGGGAGAAGCCGCCCAGCCAGGTGAGTGCACCCTGGGTGCAGGGCAGGTGAGGGGGGGGGGACGGCAGTGATGGTGGCCAAGGTCTCCCGGCCTCTGCTTGTGTCCGGAGGCCCTTTATGGACAGATCCACTCCCGGACTGCTTGGAGCTGTTTGGGGGTCCCTGTTCTGTGACTAGAGAGGTTGCTTCACCTGGGCGGGGGGGGGGCGGTGCCCCCCTGCCGCCCATAAGGGCACAGCTGCACTTTAGCCTCCTGGGAGGAACTCAGCCCTTGGGGGAGGACCCTGTCCTTCCCGTGACGTGCAAGCGGCACATTCGTGCCCCCCTCCACTGTGCCCTTGTGGAGACAGAGTTGCTCTCTGGGTCGGAGCCTGGGGGTGCCACGGCTCATCTGTTTGTGGGGGGGGGCTGCTTGGTTCCTCCGTCCTTCTCTTTGGGCACCCACGCTTGCCCCGTCCACAAGTTATGGCGAAAGCGTGTATATTGCGTGATACGTCCTTTGAGCAATGCTCGAGTTATGTCCCGCACACGCCAACATTTATCCAGGCTGACAGGGCTCTGGTTTCTTTGGCGAGGTGAACGTGCGTGGGCTGTCATTCCTCCGTGCCTTGACCCTGCAGACGGCTCTCTTGCCCTCGCCCGTGCCCTGCTGGTCCCTTAGAGGTGCCCCGAACCTGCAGGGACTTCCTGCCCTGAACCATCCCTGGGGGCCTGCTCTGTCTCTGGAGTCAGGGCCCCACACCCTGCCCGCTGCATAGTGACGGATAGCAACGGAGAGCCAAGGTGCTGTCGTGGTTGGGCTGTTTGGCTGGGATCTCAGAGACCCAGGTTCAAATCCCTGCTCTGCCGGGGAACCTGGCTGGATGACCTTGGACCCACTGCCACCCAGACCTACCTCGCAGGGTGGTTGTTGTAGTGAGGATAACATGGAGGGGGCAGAACAACGGGGGGGGGCGGAGGGGCTCAGCTGGTTCTCCGGGAGCCAGCTCTCCTCTCAGCGGCCGGCCGGGATTCCCACTGCTGCCACAACGTGGATGGGCCACGCCAACCAGCCGCCCTGCCGTGAGGAAGTCGCCACGACAAGCAGGGGGAGAAAAAACAGCCACTCCTGTGGGGGCTCCCCTCCCCCCGCTGGAGAGGGCCCCCAGAGAGCCTGAGGGGGCCGCAGGGAATGCTGGGGGGGCCCTGCCCTGCATCCTTTGGGCAAAGGGGTGTCCCCTGGGAGATGCCGTGCACCGGGGCCCCGCTCAGGCGGAAGCAGTGTGTGTGTGTGTGGGGGGGCACTGCACGGGAGGGAAGCAGTCTTGGCAGGTGCAGGACCCGGTGGTGGGGATGGGAGAGCGGGGGGGGGCACGGGTCCCTCGGGGGAGAGGAAGCACCAAGAGAGGCCCCCCCAGGGTTGTGCTGGGGTTTGCGCTCCGGGAGGGAGGCCGGGGGCCTTTTCCTCCTCGCAAGGGCTGGCGAGCCGGCCATGCCAGTCCCACTGGCTCTGCTGCTGGGCACCAGGGTGCTCCCCCGCCGCCCACCCCGCCGCGGCCCACGGACGGGTCTGGAAGGACTCCTGGAACGCACGGAGGGTACGGCAAAGGGGGGAAAGAAGCCCACAGTTCGGGACCACCCGGAAAAGCCTGCCTGGCTGGCCCGTCGGAGGGGGGGGGCTCTGTGGGCTGCCCCCCTCCCCTCCCGCCGCCCTTTCTTTCTCTTTGTTGCCAGGCCTGGCGGCCCGCCCGATATATTTAGCCCTTTCTGTCCCTGGCGTCGGCTCTCGGGTTTCACTGGGCTTGGCACCTGTGTGGCCGGCCCTGCTATTCTTGGTTTCTTGGGGCTGCCGGCGGGGGAAGATAAGATCCAGGCATCATCCAGGTCGGGGATTAGGGAGGGGGGCCCAGGATGGCCCCGAATTCTTTCCGTTGAGCTCAGAGGACGGGGGGGGGGCGGCTTTGTCCGAGCGATGCCCGTGGCTGGCCCCTCCCCCCGCCCACGGCCGGCCGGGTGAGAGCCTGCACCTGCCGCGTGCCACGGGGCCTGCGGAGCCGGGCCGGGAGGGGCAGGCGGAGCAGTCACACACAAGGCTCCCTCTTAGCTGTGGAGTCCTGTGAGCAAAACGTCTGCTTCGTGAGCGATTGGCATTAAAGTCGTAAGCGAGCAGTTTGGCTCCTGCATAAATGAGTCTGCTCTGGAGCCGTCCCTCCTGAGTCAAGACAAGAATGTGTGAACCGGAGGCTAGCTCACACTCACTCAGCTGAGAGGGAACACTGGCCACTCCCGCACGCACGCATGCACGCGGCTCTTTCGCAGCAGCAGCTGCTCCCGGAGAGACCCGTTTCCCCTACACTGTTTCGTGTGTGTGTTTGTTTCTCCTGGCTTTAAAACAGCAGGCCAGAGCCTGACCAAAGGCCAGAGCCTGTCCATAGACAACGTGAGGAAGGGCAAACCCGCCTCCTCGAGGGAAGGGGAGGGAAGTCGACTGACTTTGAGCCAAGGGAGTCTCGGGCTGCCCACCGTGTCTGCAGGGAGCGAGATAGTGGCTGCCTTGACCGGACGGCCTGGGCTGGCCTGATCGCCTCAGATCTCAGGAGCTAAGCCGGGTTGGCCCTGCGCGGTATTTGGAGTGGAGGCTGCTGAGGAGCCCCAGGGTTGTGGCGTGGAGGCAGGCAGTGGCCACCGCCAAGGCTCCCTCTAAGCTGTGGAGTCCCGTGAGCAAAGATTCTCCTTTGTGAGCTGCTGGCATGAAAGCTGTGAGCCGGCAATTTGGCAACGGCATAAACACAGGAAACTGACACTGTTTGCCCAAAGCCAGAGCACTGCCCCAGAGCCTCTTTCTAGATCCCGTTGTATTTATTTCCGCAACGGGCATTATTTCTAGTTAATAATAAAAGCATTTGGGTAATTTTATATAATTTCCACATAAATGGTGCAAAACATAAGAACATAAGAGACGCCAAAGTTGGATCAGGCCAAAGGCCCATCCAGTCCAACACTCTGGGTCACACAGTGGCCAAAAACACCAGGGGCCATCAGGAGGCCCAGCAGTGGGGCCAGGACACTAGAAGTCCTCCCACTGTTGCCCCCCCCCAAGCACCAAGAAGACAGAGCATCACTTGCCCCAGAGCTCTTCTGGAGCAACATCTTTCCTGAGCGAAGACAAAAATGTGTGAGCCGGAGGCTAAAAAACGGTGAGCTAGCTCACACTAACTCAGCTTAGAGGGAACACTGGCCACCCCCTCTGGAACGTTGCTTGCCTTGAGGAGCCCATGGGGCTGCCTTAGGTCAGCTGCGACTGGACGGCCCTCTCCACCGCCGAGTTGGGGCTGCCATTTCCTGGCGGCCTTGCTCAGCAACAGCAAGACAAGACTCCAGAGCATGCAATGGCCACACCCAGACACACCCCACTCCCAGGGATAGGCTATTCACATAACATTACTACTTGATTGGTTACTTCCAGAGTCCTGGTCGGCTATTGTTCTTGTGCTCCAAGCTCAGCCAGTCTCTGGGGTGATTCAGTCAGGGATAATTCGATCCCAGTACATAACACTGGTGTATGCCGGGGGGGGGGATCTGCCAGAGGGGAGAACCTTTGGGGATCATGCTGCCCTCCCCCACAATGTGATGGATACTGGGGGAGGGGCTCTGGCTTTGGCGAAGAAGAAGAGATTGGATTTTTATACCCCGCCCTTCACTCGGAGTCTCAAAGCGGTTTACAAACTCCTTTCCCTTCCCCTCCCCACAACAGACACCCTGTGAGGCAGGCGGGGCTGAGAGAGCTCTGACAGAAACTGCTCTTTTTCAAGGACAGCTCTTGTCAGAACTTGTGACTGACCCAAAGTCACACCAGCAGCAGCATGTGGAAGAGGAGTGGGGAATCAAACCCGGTTCTCCCAGATCAGAGCCTGCGCTCCTAACCACTACACCAAACTGGCTTCCTGCCTTGTGGGGCATGGTCTTGCTGACTCCGAAGTGTCCATTCCCTGCGACAGGGAACCTCCTGATTGATAGCCCGCTTGCCGTGGGGCGCAGGGTGGTTGTGTGTGTGTGTGGGGGGGCAGGCTGCCACAGGGCCCAGTGGGAATGCAGGCCAGTGGTCCAGGCCGGTTGGTCAGCCAGGCCACGCCTTTTTGTGGAGGTCCGGGCTCTGGAGGGCCCCGCGGGAGTTTCCTCACAGGCAAAGGCCTGGGGGGGGGCGGAGGGGGCTTTGGGGAGGGAGGCGCCTTCGCTCTGTGTGACCATGGGGTGTGTGTGTGCCCCTTCCCCAGGCCGCTTCGGACTCCTTTGAGGAGCGCATCGTGGCTCTGTGTGAGAAGATGATGTCCCGGTCCTGCTGGCTCCGCTCAGAGACGCTCGTCCACCACGTCAGCTTCCGGGGAATGACCCTGCTGCACTTGGCGGCGGCCCAAGGCTACACCCGCCTCATTGAGACCCTCATCAAGTGGCGGTGAGTCACCCTGCCTTGGCAGCCTCCTCTCACTTGCTCCCTGGCGACTCAAAGCTGCTTTCCAAGTGAAACCCACGCACGTGCGGCTTGAGAAGGACATGCGACTTGACGTGCCTTCTGCACCTCTGCTGGGCATGCAATGAGAGCCCGGGTTCAATCCCCAGCGGCCTCTCCAGTTAAAAGGACCACAGCCAAACAAAGAGGGAACCACGGGAACCACTGTCACAAGTAAGAACAAACCGTGACCCACTAATCTCTCCTTATATATAATTGAATAGTGGGTGCCAAAGTTCTAATTCTAAAATGCACTCCCTTAGTGTATGGCTGATGGCACAGCTCCTCAGCATATATCGCCACCAATCAGAAGGCAAAGCCCGGGTCCCACCCACACCACAACTGCTGTGACAACCTGGTCTTTTGCATATGGAAGCTGATTGGACTTCAGTCCATTCCACACCTCAAACTCCACCACCACCCCCCGCAAGGCAGTTGGAATTTTCAGTTGCATAACATACCTCATAGGGGAGAGGAGAATGGGTAACAATGGTTACCACTCTCCAGGTGAGGGCTACAGATAACTCAAACATACAAATGCTCTTCAGGTAGCAGAGATCAGTCCCTCTGGAGAAAACAGTGGACTCTGTCATTAAACCCTGCTGAGGTCGCCACAGGAAACTGACACTGTTTGCCCAAAGCCAGAGCACTGCCCCAGAGCCTCTTTCTAGATCCCGTTGTATTTATTTCCGCAACGGGCATTATTTCTAGTTAATAATAAAAGCATTTGGGTAATTTTATATAATTTCCACATAAATGGTGCAAAACATAAGAACATAAGAGACGCCAAAGTTGGATCAGGCCAAAGGCCCATCCAGTCCAACACTCTGGGTCACACAGTGGCCAAAAACACCAGGGGCCATCAGGAGGCCCAGCAGTGGGGCCAGGACACTAGAAGCCCTCCCCCTGTTGCCCCCCCCCCAGCACCAAGAAGACAGAGCATCACTTGCCCCAGAGCCCCTATCTATACCTTGTGGCTATCGGTGTGTAACATAGAAAAATACGATCTCAATTTGGTATTAATTCAAAAAGATTCACACAATAGTATTAAGTCCTTATTCCAAAAACCAGTGAGAGGGCAGAGTCTCCTAAGGCGTAAGGGATGCATTCCGCATTCATCGCAGCTTCGAATCCTGTTGGTCACCCTCCTGCAACACAGGTGCCTGCCGGAAGCTGTCTTTCGACAGACTTTTTCACATCAGCAAAAGTACATCACATTCCTTTCACTATTGAAAACATGTCAAGGAATTTAAACAAAATTATTTCTTTGTTTATAATTTTGATTTGTATCCCGCCCAGCCACAGAACAGGCTCAAGGCGGCTAACGACATTTAAAACACCAAGGCAATGAATACATTAAAATACATAAAATTACATCTCCCATCCTGCATAATTTTACCAAGCTGTGTGGAAACATACTTACAGTGAATAGCTGTATTTTGTATTTCTCTAATTATTATTAGTTCGTCGGTCACGGTTTGTTCTTACTTGTGACCATTAAAAGGACCTGGCCGGAGGGGAGGGGAAATGGGGGAGAGGGGGATGACGCGGGCCATTTTGGGGGCCCTCTTGGGAGAAAGGGTGAGGGTATAAAACAAAGCAAACAGAAATGCATAAATAAACGCCCCACCTGGGTCTGATTTGGACAGCTGTGCCAGACAGCCTCCAGCTGTTGTGCCCCACAGCTGGATGCCATTAACCCCGCCAGGGGACTCTGCCCCAGCACAAAGCCTCCCCCGCCCCCAGCTGTCCTCCCAGAGGGAGATGCCTGGGCCAGAACCCTGCCGGTGTGCTTGCCCTCGGAAGAGGCCTGGATGGTAGAAGGCTCCGGGCTTTTCCCTTGTGGTGACGGAGGGGCAGCCCGGGTGGTGACTGCCGAAAGGGACGCGTCCTGACGCTGGCCTGCCTCCTCCCCTTAGGAACATCAACGCCGAGAGCCTCGATCTGGAGCAAGAGGTGGACCCCCTCAACGTGGACCACTTCTCCTGCACCCCCCTGGTGAGCAGACTGTTGTGGAGACGGGACCCCGGGCACGCGGGACCAAGACGCTGCCGCCTCTGGGCGGGATCAGGGCCCCAGCTGGGGGGAGGTCTGGCTCAGTGGAGGAGGGGGGCGTGGCCCAGTGGGAGAGCCTCTGCTCGGCCTGCAGAAGGTCCCAGTATGGAAGGTTCCATCCCCGGCAGCATCTCCAGTTTAGAAAGGACCCGATGGGAGGTGATGGGAAAGACTTTTGTTTCCCCGGGACTCTGGAGAGCGGCTGCCGGTGTGAGCAGGCAAGACAGACTCTGGTGGACCAAAGGTCTGATCGAGCAAAAGGCAGCTGCACGTGTGTGGGGCGCCATGGCTCAGTGGCAGAGCCTCCGCTTGGCCTGCAGAAGGCCCCAGGCTCAGTCCCTGGTGGGAGAGCCACTCTCGGGCAGAGCAGACAGAACTGACTCTGACGGGCGGATTCAGTAGAGGGCAGCTTCACATGTAAAATGGGGGGGGGGGACCTCTCCTGAGCTACAGAAGGTCTCTGGTTCAGCCCCCAACCAGGTCTGGAGGAAGAGCTGGAGGCTGGGACCAGCTAGAAGGGTGGGTGGTCTGGTGCGACAGAGACTCCCTGGCCCAGCCTCCCCACCCCCACGGAAGAGAAGGTCGGGAAGGTGCCGGGCTTTGGGGCCTCCCCTCCTGTCTTCATGGGGAGTGGGGGGGGGAGGGTGGCACGGGGGGAGGGCAGGAGAATGAATTTGGTGCCGTGCGGAGCTTGAAAGGCCAGACTCTGCCTTCCAAGAAGCCCCCCCCCCAATCAACGCTCCCTCTAAGCTGTGGAGTCTTGTAAGCAAAAATTCTCCTTTGTGAGCCGCTGGCATTAAAGTTGTGAGCGAGCCCTTTGGCTGCTGCATAGATTAGTCTGCTCCGGAGCCCTCCTAACTGAGCGGAGACAAAAATGTGGGAGCCGGAAGCTATAGAACTGTGCGCCGGCTCACACCCTAGCTCCTCTTGGAGGGAACGCTGCCCCCAGTGCCTCTGGACCGAAAGCCCCAAGGAGGAGGGCAGGGCCGAAGAAGACGTCCAGGCCCCAGGCAGACCGACCTGCTGGGGGTCTCTGCAACTTGCCCCGCTCCCCCCTGTGTGAATGGCCTCGACGGAGAGTGCCGCCAGCAGCCCCCCAAGGGGCTTTCAAGCCGAGAGCCATTCAGAGGTGTCCGGCCCCTGCCTGCCTCAGCGCAGCAACTCTCCCCTCCCGGGACCAAGGGGCTAGGCTGGGCCGTTTGAGTCACCTTGGGAGCCATTTAAAGCCTCCGTGTTTCAAGGCAGTCTATCTCTGGATGCCATTCGGGCGGGGC